TAGCTTATTCTAACTACTTTACAACGAATTGCTAAATATTAACGTGTAACGTCTATGATGTGTTCTTTACTATAGTTCATAGCAGTTGTCCTTCCAATAGACACAATTTCCTGACATCTCTTCGCAGGCTTGTTGTAAATGTCTTGACTTGTACTTGTCTCACCATGCCATGTTTGTCAATATAAAGCTCTATTACGATACCTTTTGGCCAGTTTCCGCGATGAACTTTGTCGTCAACTATAAGTACGAGGTCACCGACAGCGAAGTTGCGCTTAGGTAATGTCCACTTCTGTCTGAGTTGCAGTGTTGGTATATACTCATGAATCCATCTTTTCCAGAAGGCGTCGGCTAAACACTGAACAGTTCTCCTTCTCTTCTTATACACGTCCCTCTCATCAACTTCATCAAGGGGAATGCTAGCATTGTTCTTCAGTAACAACAGCTTGTTCGGTGTTAGGGGCTCTAGATCAAGTGGGCTGTCAGATAAAAGGGTTAATGGTCTGYCATTCAGAATACGCTCRACTTCTGCCATAAGTGTTAACAAGGTTTCATCTGTTACTAACTGTTGTTGCAATAACGCTCGTAGGATGTTCCTGATGGATCTGATCATACGCTCCCACACTCCTCCTTGATGGCTAGCTTCAGGTGGGTTAAAATGCCATTGTACTTCATCTCGGCGAAGATGATCATTAATCTTGTCTTGGTTCCAGCGTTGTAAAGCTTCTCTGAGCTCTCTTTCAGCACCTTTAAAGTTAGTTCCGTTATCACTGAAGATTTCCTTTCGTACACCTCGTCTACTTACAAACCGTTGGTAGGCACATATGAATGAATCACTTTCGAGCGTATGAGCGATCTCGATGTGCACGGCTCTAATWGCAAAACACGTAAAGACACAACCCTAACGCTTAACGTGGGAACGTCCYTGTTTCACTGACAGTGGACCAAAGTAGTCTACTCCTACGCGTGTGAATGGTGGATCTGAGGGGATAAGTCTGGCTGCTGGTAGCGAAGCCATTAACTGCACTCAGGGGTATTAAGGCATGGTTATGCTCAAAAAAATGAATTAATTCACTAAAAAATAGATTAAAAATCCTGTATACATCGTGTCTCAAAGAAATCTAGCAGGAAGGGTAGATATAGATAAGGACTTGAATTG